TGTATAAGTAATATTAAGTATTCTAATATTATTTCATTATAGTAAAGAAAGCTTGTTTTAATTAAAAATATTCTTTAAAACAGATAACTATTTTACTAAATACGATATCTGCCTACGATACGATATAAAACTTCTTTTGTATATTTTTTCTCTTGTACTAATTTATAGTAGAATATGATTTTGGTTCCCATCACTATTTGTGTATTAGCAAGTGTAGCAACCTTTTTTTTTTAACGTTGGGAAATGCATTTACGCACGACGTGTGGGAATCACTGGCGTAATACAGCCAGTACTACCCACTAAAACCCAACAAAACCTTCCCCCGTCTTAATGGGGCGTCGCAGGATCGCTTGCGCATTCAACTACGACGCCCCGACGGCAGGTCTGCCGAAGCAGACCACCACAACCATGGGGTTGCTCCACAGTCCACTCTGCTATCAGAGAAGTACCAGGAGCAACCCGCATGGTACACCGCCCCCCAAAGAGGGCCACCTCCCACCGCCCACCGAAGTGGGCAACCTCCCTGTGCGTTTCTTAGCTTCACGCCCGGTTGGATTGCCGGGCACTACTGAGCCCCCCCACCACGAAAGTGTCGCAACCTTGAATTAACCATAATACTTTCTTAGATTTACGCGAATATTTGACATTTTAAATAAAACTATCTTTTCGGATTTTACTACTACATATATTTACAAATGAAATGTATGTAGTAATGTGTTGCTTAATAATTTGTTTTTTAAATAATAGCAAATTAAAATTATTATTTTTAATTAATCTTAACTTTTTCAAATTACACATAGATCAATTGTGGCTTAAATAATTAATATATTATGATTTTTTCTTTATGGTTATAAATATAATAATGGCAACACTAAAAATGTAGATTAATAATTAATATTTTTTAAAATTGTTATAATTATAATAATAACAGCTTAAATTAAATAAATATATATATATATATATATATATATTCAATTATAAAGCTAATTAAAATTATATAAAAATGTTTAAAGTTAAAAGTTAAAATATTGTAAGGTACTTTAGTGCCATTTTTCAATTTTTTGAATTCATTTTGTTAATTGTGGGTAGGCTGTCTGTAACAACTATATAATACCTTAGAGACATCTAACACCTCAGTCTCTCCCGTGACCATGATTGCTGTAAAGCATTCGAAACGTCGGGAAACAAAAATGCAAATAAATCCGCGACAATATCCGAAAAGACTTGAATTAACCAATCAGCGTGTATTTCAACCCGCCTCCCCCGTACCGCTTACCTCAGACTTTTGACTAACATGGTTTGGAATTTGGATGCAGAAGTACATAAATTAGGCGTCTATCGGCCTGAGTAGTCGTTGCTTTGGTTACATTGGTTAGTTTTAACTGCTACCACTTAATAATGTCACGTCTTATTTACTCTAAATAATGGGCTAGCTGTTAAATGGACTTTTGATGACGTTTAATGTTTATTGCACTTTTAGTTTAAAATTATTTAGCTAAGCAAGATTTTTATACATCAAGTATTACCTGTAGCTCGATATATCCCTAACCTATCTATATGTTTTGAATTTACATAATTAGATTTATTTAGGATAACACACATAAAAATATTGCAGTAAATAATATTGTAAATAGAATTGGAATTGATATATCATCGTTAGTAATAAACATAGCAATTTAGATCACAATTGTAATGTTTGTTAGAAAACAGAGGGTTCAGACACACTGAGCGGGAACACTCACATATTTTTGTAATATTTTTTTATTTAAATCATTAAAATATTAATACCGACTAGCGACTCACCCTCGCTTCGCTCGGGTTCGTCCCTAGGGTATGTATACAACTCCCTATATGAATCGGATATTATTAAAATTTTTATTGGTTTTTTTTCGTGGCACCCTATTTTTTTTCTAAAATAAAAGTAGCCTTAGTTACTCCTTATTACATCAGCTATCTGCCAGTGAAGAGCCATTTCAGAGAATAGCCGGAACAAACAGACAGACAGAAAAAAATTGTAAAAAAATGTTGTTTTGGTATATGTACCGTGTATACATCCATATGCATTTAGTAAAAAGCTATTATTTTGACATTACAAACAGACACTTCAATATTTTAATAAATTTTGAAATAATTTTCAATTTTTTTATATTTTTCTTATTTTATATTTTATTGATACACTACACATACTCGTATATAACATTAAATACATACAATTATTATAAATATACATATTATATTATTACGAAGTGCATAAAATGGTTATTAGTCTAGCAGCTTGATTCGGTATTCACATCAACAAATGCAATGTCGCATTGACCCCTTATTTATTTTATTCTTCATTTATTTTATCTCTAAGTGGAATAGATGTCGCGATTCCTTTCAAACGGTTATTTTTAACCGACTTCCAAAAAGAAGGAGGTTCTCAATTCATTGGAATCTTTGTTTTTTTTATGTATCTTCACCGATTACTCGAAGACGCCTGAACCGATTTGGATTTTTTTTGCTTTCAAAGCGTATTCTTTTATGTGGTCCCATTTAAATTTTATCTAAATCGGTCAAGCGGTTTTAAAAAAAATCAACAATAAATTATTTTTTAAAATAAATTGCTTAATCGAATATGGTATTAAAAAACTTTCTTCTTACAAACCTCCCCATTACATCTACACAAAAAAATGGAAAAATAAAAATTTAAAAAATACCGACTTCCAGGCAGTAAAATGTAAAAAATAACTAAACGGGGGTTTTCATTTAGAATAGAGAGATAGATTTGGTAGGGGATTGCCCTTAATATGCATCACATGATAGCCATGTACACACAATAATCACCTTGTAAATAAAAATAAAAATCAACAAAATATAATTTTAGATCTATTTATGTTTAATAGTGATATTATAAAAAATAACAGTTTACACATCGACAACAGTATTGAGTCGAATAGACCCGTTACATCCACCCTCAGACATCAGCATCAATCTGGATTACAATGCGGCCAAACTGTTGGATTCAAACCCTAAACTTATAACATATAACTAGCAAAAAGCGCGGTTTTGCGAGTGCTCGCGAGCTTTTGCAAATCTGCCACCTTCATATATCATGAGGAGTTTAAAATATTAACTATAAGAAATTTTACAAATTCGTTTGTCTCTAAATGTCACCTTTATCAGTAACATATAAAGTTGTATATGCTCTGCAAATATATCTATTACATGTAAATTCATGAATTATAAATAAATAAATATGCTCAAAACGTGTGTTCACCTTGTCGTGGTGGGGGGGGGGGCTCAGTAGTGCCCGGCAATCCAACCGGGCGCGAAGCTAAGAAACGCACAGGGAGGTTGCCCACTTCGGTGGGTGGTGGGAGGTGGCCCTCTTCGGGGGGCGGTGTACCATCCGGGTTGCTCCTGGTACTTCTCTGATAGCAGAGTGGACCTTGGAGCAACCCCATGGTTGTGGTGATCTGCTTCGGCAGACCTGCCGTCGGGGGGGGGCGTAGTTGAATGCGTAAGCGATCCTGCGACGCTCCATTAAGACGGGGGAAGGTTTTGTTGGGTTTTAGTGGGTAGTACTGGCTGTATTACGCCGGTGAGTCCCACACGTCGTGCGTAAATGCATTTCCCAACGTTAAAAAAAAAGATAGTTGATACGCTACATGTATATAACTTTAAATACATACGTATTATAATTATAAACACACATGACTGAGCTACTAAACTGAACCAGACGTGTCGTCAAATATATATAATAATTAAAAAATGCAATCTAGGCCAAGATAAAACACAAGATCTAAAATTTTCGATTTCATTCGATTCGATCAATTCGATATCGATTTGCGATTACATTCAAAAGTCCAAGGGGCTCCAGATTCGTAAACATTATCATATAATATATTTTGATGATCATATTCAGTATAGCAGTAGTATCTAAATTAAATGAAAGATGTTGTCTTTCTTGACTTGATGATCGGTATATAAACGTTACAGGAACAATCATAAAGTCGAGTAAAAGTAACACAACAAAAAACCAGGTAGAAAATTCTAACAAATGCTATTGTTAAGGAATTAAATCAGGATCAAGGTAAAATCGACTTTAATGCAAAATGGTTAAAGATTTCAATAGGATCAATAATAATTTCCAAAAAAAATATTTAATGTACAGATTCAGCTCAGTTAGAATTATATTATATGTATAGATTATTAATATTAATTTCACGTTTGATAAAACAAATTTCAGTGACTTTATAAAATCCATAAAATGTAACCATCGCCATCTATGAATAAACAGCACAAACTCATCACCAAATAAATGGATGACAGTAAAGATTATTTATCTATACATATATCAATAACTAATTTGTTAATTGCGCTAGTCTCTGGAAATACCAGTTCAATTTTAAAATTTCTATTGACAAAGGTTAGAGATTATCTAAAATAATGCTATGGGTCATAGCAATTATTAATAAATAAATTAAGTAGACGGACAAATATTACACCTAATATAACAATTATTAATACAGTTTTATTTACGAACGAGCATGTACATACCTACATTTGTATATGTATGGTGGTATATATAATTTAGTGTAGCGAGTCTCTTATATAAACATTCAATCCGGTCCCTTTATTTATTTTTTCGTCCCAAGTAAGGATGATGAAAATTTTCCTGTCTTATAGAAGACTCGTAATATTTTACAAATGATTTTTAGGTTAAATCACAAAAAAAAGTTCTTAAATTATAGTTTTTATATAGACAGAATAAAAAATATATTAAATGTTTCTACACAAACGTGTTATTTTAAATATATACTGGAACTGTTTTATATTTTAGTTATATTTTCCTAGTTTTTTCTATTTCGTAAATTGTTTTTTTTTTCAGTATTTATAATAAACTTAAATAATATATAATGTTAATCTAGAAATCAAATCTGAAGAACAAACGAGATTATAAAAATATGCACTTAGTTCTTAAAGTTTCTTAATATAAATTGATTTTAAATAGATCAACTTGTCTGGTCCAGCTTATAGTTCTTTTGTCCTAGTGCTTCAGCCTCAGCTAGAGTATCAGGCATGGCAGTTCCCAAAGTTTCGGGCTGAGTCAGAACCAGAAGACCAGAGATTATGCCCATAGTACCGAACATGATTGATGGGACACCATGCCAATATTCCATCTGTAAATTCAAACATAACTTGGATAAAGTGTTAGATTTCATATTTCGAAATCATTAATTTCGAGAGATATGAATGATTTTGTAAAAAAAATGATATTATATATAAGAAATCCTTTTTACTAATTTGTTACTTTAGTTAAAAATCATATACAGGCAAACATTTTTTTCAAAGTATTAAAGTAAAGACTTTATAGCCTGTATAATCCGTCCTCAGAAATCAATGTTTGTTATTTTACAAGAAATAGATAAACTTATAATATTTATAGTAGGAAAAGTAAAAAACGTACAAGAACGGGTGTCAACGGAGCTGTGATAGATCCAATTCGACCAACCATAGAAGAGAAAGCAAGAAGACTGTGGCGGTATTCAGTCGGGTACAATTCTGACGTGAATAGATATACCGACGTCATTACAATAGAAATTCCAAATTTGCCCAACAAAAAGATAATTAGTCGCAGAACACTTAAATCTGAAAAAAAGTATGTGAATTTAAAAATTTAAATTAAAAAAAATCTTTATAAAATGTCCTGGACGGACATTTATATTCATTTTCATTGACCACCGACTATATATTTTTTTAAATAATTATACATTGCCTATGGCTTTAATCCTTTACTGTGATGATAAAATTAGTAACTTTCACTCAAATCCTCCATTTTCCAATAAAAGACTTGGCGAGTGATACCTGCTTGAAATCCTGGGAAAATCCCAAAGGGCCCACTAGAATTTGAACGTTCTGTTTAATCAGTTCAGTCGTTCCGAAGTTTAGAGCGTTAAAACAGAGAAGCAAACATTTTTTTTAATATTTCTATATTGTTGTAAAGTAAAGATTTATACTTTACGTGTTTCGGATGAGGCTAATATTCTAAATTCATACAAATAACTTTATTAATAAAAATAAAATAACAACAAATACCAGATATTTTAAGAATGAGTTAAGACTTAATTAAGGTAAATTAATAAATTACTTGAATCATAGCTTATTTTAATTCTGGTCCAAATCATCAGAAGCTATGTATGAACATCTGGTTACATACAAAAAACCCTGGACAATTTATTCGATTTGTTTATTATCTCTTAGCAATACATCACCTCAACAAATTTTAACGTAATTTGGCTTTTACTTTTATTTATGGCACTGAGAGAGTTCCGTTAAATTTAAATTTACAACGTTAAAACAAAACACGCTTTTGAAGTGTCAGATAGTTAAATCCAAGATTTTATTAAGGTTGAATGTTTATACTAGTATAATATACGATTTAAATAATTTTTTTTTTACAATATACTATCGACCCACCACTGTTTTGTTCTCTTGCGTCCCTAGAATCCTTCGAATTTATTGTATTACGGGTTCTCTCAAAAAGTACGAGTTTTTTCTGTATTTGCAATGTGTTATATGTTGTATATTATGTTTGTGTGTCTAATTGATAATCCCTCTAGTTTGGTGGCCTAATTCAGTTCATTAGTTTCTGATATAAGCCGGAACAAAAACAAACTCAGCGAGGCGTAAGTCCAAGACTTTATTAAGGTCGAATCGTTATACTAGCATACGATATCATTTAATTGATTTACCTTTTGCAAGACACTATTGACGTGACATTGATTAAAAATTACTAAGAGAAACATCATTAAAAACTATTATTATTATTAAATTAAATACACAAGTTACTCACCATTAGGAACGAATACGAATACAATGTTACACAGAGCACTGAAGAAGAAACCAGAAGATAAGGTAGCTTTCCTTCCAATTCTATTGAGGACCAGAACTGCTGTGACGTAGCCAGGGATTTCTATAGCGCAAGTCAATATGAAATTTAGGTACATGGTATCGGAGAGGCTCGTCGAATTGATGGATAGCCCATAATATACAAAAGTTGTGGTGATCCACCATATAGGCGTCGTGCATACTCGTCGAAGTAGTACAGGAGAGCTTATTATACTGCGGATTAAGCCAGGCTTTTCAATCTAAAAAAGTAAAATGTAAAAACACATTTGTTATCTTTACCAAAACTTCACAAAATATAAATCTAGATTAGTTATTTTTTCATAGACCAATAAAGCAAGTTTAAGATAACTACAACAGCTGCTTCACTAACATTAGGTATTTATAGTATGAAAAGATAATTATGGTCTTGTATGTATATTATTGTGTGTACTGTACTTGTATGTCTAATCGTAGACACCTAATAAGTGTAACAAACATCAAAAACGACTTTACAATAATTAGACTTTATTATCTCGCCTGCAATAAAAATAGCAAAGTTTTAATCGGTGCAATAAATTATAAAATACAGCTTCATAAAATATAGCATGACATTAAAATATAGCAATATCTCTATCTAACACTGTTTCTGAGAACTAATGTAAGGATTAGGTTTAAAAATTCACAATCAATTCAAATAATTTAAAGTTGAAACTACTACAGTAGAAACTGGTTCATAAATGTACTTATTTTTATTACATAAAAAAAAGACTTACGTCTGATGAAGTCATGGATTTTTCTGGTGGATTCATCAAAGCTTGCAAACTCTTCTCGCTGATATACGTTTTGTTTACTCTCGCTACGTTTTCTAAGATATTTTTAGCTTCTTCGTACTTTTTTTTCGAAAGAAGCCACCTAACACTTTCTGATAAAATCCAGTAATAACATATGATCAGGAAGCAGGGAATATTCAAAGCCATAATAAAGTATCTCCATGGTTGAACAACCCAAGCTACTCCACCAAGAACTACTTGTCCCACAGCAAACATAGACGACGACGTAGCACTTGTGATTACACGATACTTTGGTCCAACGAGCTCCGCAGCTGTAGAGAATTGAAATTTGAATATTAAAATTAAATGATGTCCATTCAATAATGATATTTACTTAGTTTAATTTAAATAGAATTACCGAAAATGTATGCAGAACTGAATATTCCCGCTCCGAACGTAGTTTGGAGGAGTTGAAGGATCAAATACATAGTATAGTTGACAGAAAACGCACGTATTAGGCCAATAAGTGCCATATTGAAGACGCTGATTATAAGAGCCCATTTTCGACCAAATCTATCTGAGATGTAGCCAGTAAACGGCAACACTAGTAATGTTCCTATACTGCTCAGTGTGCCTGCCAAAGCTCTTAACCATTCTTCACATCCCAAATCGAACTAAAATAAGTACATACGGATTTTAAAAAAAAGCATGTTACTGGATATTATTTTTATGAACTTGCTATAGTTTGACCAATTTTATTATAAAAATGTCGTAAGTTACATTTTTATAAGATATATTTATTCATCGAATTCGATAACTCACCTCATATACCACAGAGTTGTCCCTTGCGTAAACAAAACTATCACATGAAACTGTTTGCATTTGATTGAACAGGTTAGCTGGGCAATAGTCCAGGGTACCGTTGGTTCCTAAATTCATAGACACATACCGTTGACAACTTGAGAAACCCGAGTTGGTTTCCGGTATAGCATTTAAAACCCAGTCTGGTTCGTAAAGGTTCAATTTACTGTCTTCCCCACATTCCGGAATACGACATCTGAATATTTAGACAATTATTTATTATTAATTTTAGTACCACGAATACGTGTAAAGCATACATATAATATATACGTAAAATTAAATAAAAACTTAATATATAAATATCTTATTTCACGATGCTTGTGGTCGGACTCCTCCGAAACGGCTTGAACGATTTTAATGAAACTTTTCTGTATATTTGATAGGTATGAGAATAGGTCGTAAAGTATTTTTTATCCTCCTACCCCCACCCTCCATTTTTTTAGTAACTAGGGGAGAATCTGAGCATAGCGAAGGTGAATCACTAGTGTATAATTATATAAAACTTTTTTTTCATTTTTGTCCAAAATCTCAAATTCAGAACTAACACCCTTAGACAAGTGTTTTCCAATCAAGCAATGTGTAGACACAATATAGAAAACAAAAAATACATGAGAAAAATATATTACTTATGAACACATTGTACAATGCTTGGATATGTCATTTCCATATATTGTTTAGTTTCTATTAGCGATAGCGATTTTAGAATGTCTCTCTCTCTCTCTCTCTCTCTTGCAAAAAGTAAAGCTACTCGATATACATATTACAAATTACCTGTGTGGAATGGCGGCTGCGGAAAAAATATAATCGCTCATAAACGCAGATGAAATAATTGGTAAGGCAACCAATAAAATATTTCTCAGCTGGAACCAGCCGAACTGCCCCAGTTCGTTGACCAGAACATCATCAAGATCTAAAGATTTCTCAAACGCACTAGCTTTTCTTCCATTAACATAACTTTGTTTTCTTGATGGAGAGTCTACTCCATTTTCTGTTTGATCTTCAGACATTTCGATTTATTTTAGAGAACGCGGTGCTCCATGCCGCGGAACCCTTTTGAATGAGTATAGCGGTTAATCATGATATTTATCAATTCTTTTTAAGCAATAAATTTCTTATCAATTTTTTATCAAACTTTTCATCTATATGCTTTTCTTTAATCCAATAATATATCAAACGCCTGTAACACAATCTGATCGGAATTAAATTATTTAAATGTCATATTGTTTACTTTGGTGATATTGGTTAGATTTAACTGTTACCACTTAATAATTTCATGTCTTATTTACTACATTATAGCTCTTCTAGCATTGCTCGCGACTCCGCCCGCGTTCAGATTACTAAAAAATCAAATTCTTAGGTATTTTGTTTTATTATTAATGTATTTGGATCAATAAAATATTATTATAGATAATTGCCTGATTATCATATAAAGTTGTGACAGATGATTGGTGGTATGTTGCTTCCGCAATAATGTTCTTCCGCAATAATATATACATATTTTATTATTAGACTGTTGCATGTTGTGTGCTTTTAATTTCTTACGATATTTGATATATCGGATGAATTATATCGATTTGTAATTCGATATCAGATGATTCGATAATATCGGGTTGAAGCGATATTTCAAATCAAATCAAATCAAAATATTTTATTCAGCATTAAATTATTACAATTTTTTACTGAACGTCACGAGTCTACTACCAGTTCGGAAAGAAGAAGCCTCAGACCTGAGAAGAACTGGCTAAAGAAACTCAGCGGGACTAATATTGACTTGTTATCTGTTTTTAAAGTAAAATTATAATTTACAATATTTCTATCAAGTTGAAGTAGCCTGGAGGATTCATTTCATTCCCAAGGTGTGCCATCTTCTATAAAATCATTTATCGTATAATAGCCTTTAGCACACAAACGTTCCTTAACAATTTTTTTGAATTTGGCGATAGAAGCCTTTTGAACATTTTCTGGGATCCTGTTGTACAAGCGTATACATTGTCCATAAAAACAACTACTAACTCTGTGTAGACGATTCACAGGCATTACAAGTTTGTGTTTGCTCCTAGTATTTATGTTATGCATGTCACACTTCTTGGGAAATTCGTGTATATTTTTACGGACATACATAACATTTTCGAACACGTACTGAGAAGCAACAGTCAATATTTTTATTTCTTTAAACTTATCTCTTAATGACACTTTAGGACCTAGACTATAAACTGCACGAATAGCTCTTTTCTGCAGGACAAAAATCGTATTAATAGCAGCTGCATTTCCCCATAGTAGGATACCATAGGACATAATACTATGAAAATAACTAAAATATACTACGCGAGCTGTATCTACATCAGTAAGAAGTCTTATTTTTTACCGCGAACGCTGCAGAGCTGAGTCTACTTGCTAGCCCCTCAATATGGGGGCCCCACTGCAATTTCGAATCTATATAATATCTATGATAATACCTAGGAATTTAGAGGACTCTACAGATTTTAACACTTCGCCATTTAATATTACACCATTATCAACAAGTTTGACATTAGATGTTGAGAATTTTATTAATTTTGTCTTTTTATTATTTAATAATTAATTATTTGAATCAAACCAAACAAATAGACAACCTTTGAGAGAGCATCGTTTACATCATCGTACATTAACGAATTACGCTTTACTTTAACAATAAGTGAAGTGTCATCAACGAACAATACTATCTCATGTTTGTCCTATACAAAAAATGGCAAACCAGTAATATAAATTAGAAAAAGAAAGGGGCCAAGAATAGACCCTTGTGGAACCCCCATATCTAATGGAGCTCCAGGATATCTCTTTCCATTTACATCAACCCTCTGTATTCTATTTTTTTAAATACAAGTTCAGAAGGTTGAGTGCCTTATTTCTAATACCATAGTGATGCAGTTTTCTGATCAGCGTCTCATGATGTACACAATGAAAGGCCTTGGATAAGTCCAAAAATTTTTGTTCGTAAATCCAAATTGTTTCTTATCAAGTAGATTGTGTGCATTGAAATGCGTTAACATTTGCGCGAGTATGATATTTTCAAAAATTTTACTTAACGTTGACAGTACCGAAATTGGTCTAAAATTATTAGGGTCTAAGGTACTACCTGATTTATAAATAGGAATAATTTTACTGTGTTACATTTGATCAGGAAACGCACCACGCTCTATACTGCTATTAAACACAGTAGCTAGATGAAGTGCAACAACATCAATTACCGAACTAATAACTTTTACAGATATACCCCATAGGTCGGCGGTTTTCTTGACATCCAAACTTTTGAAGGCTGAAATGATATCTTTGGGGTATACATTTTTAAATTTAAATACCAAATTACATTCTTTAAGGTATTCCTTGAGTAAAGATTCGGCAATGGCGGGAGATGAATTGAGTGATTGCGTTGTCGAAATTGGAATGTCAGTGAAAAATTTTTCAAACTCAGATGCAACTTCTAGGTTTGAAGTAATAAAATTATTGTTGATATTCAACTTAAAATCGAAGCTGTGATCCGTGACTCTTCCACTTTCACAAGCAATTATGTTCCATGTCACTTTTACTCGTACTTTATTATGTGAATTTTTTATTTTGTACACAGATTATATATATATATTCTTTATTGCATATTAACAGAGTAACACAGATAATACAGAGAACAATGTGGGCAAAGGTGGACTTATCTCTAGAAGAGATCTCTTCCAGCCAACCTAAGGAAGTGAAAAATAGTGTTATATGACGGGACTAAAAGTGTGCAATTGATTTAAGATAAAATTATAAATAATTATACAATTAAATAAGATAAAAAAACACATATAATGATAAATATAAAAAACTTACATATTATACATACTATATACACATATACATACATATATACATACATATATACATACATATTAAAGTATAAATATAATCGTATGCATTTGGAATACACAAAAATAGTAAATCAGATGATAAAATTAAGGACCAATTTGTGACAGAAGGTACTGTTTTAAATTTTTTTTAAAAGAAGTTATGGAGGGGCTTTTTTTGATGTATTTTAGGGAGTTTGTTCCAGAGTAATGAGGCATATACTGAGAAAGAGTGCGAAAAAAAAACGTGTCTTACTCTTTGGGTATGTCGTCGAGGCATTGACATGACGCAAGACCGTCTGGAACGTGTGAGGTGATAGGGAGAAGTTGGATACGAGAACGAAGGTAGGGAGGAGAATTTGGGTCGTTAAGAATATTGAAGAGGAAGGAAAGGATGTGCATATCACGGCGAAGTCGGATTGGGAGCCATTTAAGTTGAGCACGAAAGTTTGATACATGGTCATGCTTGCGCAAACCAAAAATAAAGCGAATAGCTAGATTCTGGAGACGCTCTAGTCTGTTAAGTTGCTCCTCAGTCACATCCAAATAGCACACATCAGCGTAGTCAAGTATGGGGAGGAGAAGGGTTTGAGCAAGCATAATCTTGGTACTAAATGGGAGAAAGAATTGGAGATGCTTGAGAGAGTGGAAAGAGTGATGCATTCGTTTGCTGACCTCGTTGACATGAGCTACCCAGGTCATGTTACAATCCATTATTAGGCCCAAGTTTTTCACTCTATCACAATAAGGGATTGGAACACCAGAAAACTGGACTTGAGGTATTGAAGTCCAGTCGATTTTGCACCTCAGTCTACTACTGCCAAATATGATGCACTGTGATTTGCTGGGATTCACAAGAAGGCCGAAAGACTCAGCCCATAATTGGACTTCAGCAAGGTCCGAGTTTAATGCACCAATAGCGTCATGCAACTCGGTCAGCTCAAAGTGTCGGTATATCTGTAAATTATCTGCATACAGATGGAAGGGAGAAGAAATGACTTTTGAAATGTTATTAATGAAGATGGATGAAAGATTATACAAAGATTAGAGAATTAGAGAACATGGAATACGTGATTTCGCGTAGATATATCGATATTTTATGAAATATCGATATATATCGTGCACTCCTAATTCAAATTAATCGTTTGATCTTAAATTTTTTTTTTAAATTAATACTGCTTACATTTTATCTGGTTTTGACATCTGCCGGCACTCTGAGTTCATTGTCACAACAAAATCGTCTAATTTGGAGCTGCTGTTCTCATAAATTTGTATATTATATTTTGCGTCATATATTTTTACGAAATGAAGCATTTACTGATCTAGCAGCTTGATTCGGTATTCACATCACCAAAGTTTTCAACAAACGCACAGTCGCTGCATTGACAGATAACTCCCTTAGTTATTTTATCCTTCATTTATTTTATCTCTACGTGGAATAGAAGTCGCGATTCCTTTCAAACGATTATTTTATAAGGGAGCGACAACATATTTTGTCATCAGGGGATTTTATCACACAAGCAAATTGCAAGGACGTTTTCTTTATTATACCTATTTGATTATTGGTCTGCAATGTAACAGATATGTTATCCATGGCAATAATTTTACATTAAGAATTATTATTATATCGGCTTAGTGATAAATATATCGCACTTATTACAATACTGTGTACGTACATACATACATAATTTCAACATTCAAACGACGCCTATAAAAACTCTGTATTCATTAAAGCAACACCTTATTCTTTTTTAAATTGATTATGAGTTATGAATACATATTAAGATACAGAGTTGCGAATAAAGAACAAAAAGGTCACGTTTAATTACCAAGATTGACATCCTCGCTGTTTTTCGATATTTTGTATAATAAAAAAGTGCCATTTATTATAAAAAATTTAAAAGTAAATAGGACCGTCTACAAAATTTCCATTAACATCCATGACATCATAGTCATAAACACAAAATAATCCCCTTTTATACATAAGTACAATGTTTTGATCTATCTCTTAAGGTTGAGCCAACGTTAGCCAATAAATTTCTAAGGACAATTCGATAGAACCAGTTATTGTATTTTCCCGTGGGAATGAGTAATTTGCCTGTCGTAAAAAGTATTCTAAATGTTGACCCGAGCACTAAGTTTTATGACTA